TCGTCCCCGGGGGGCCTCGGGGACACCCGGCGCCGCTCACCCCCCATCTGCTCCCTTCCAGCCTGCTCCGTTACAAGCACCCCTCGGACGAGGAGCTCTGCGTGCTGGCGGGCAAGCAGCGCCCCAAGGCCAAGCGGGACAGGTCAGCTCCGCTCGCATGCGTGGTTCCGGTGGCCAAGAGGGGCGTAAAACGACAAATATTGTGTTTTGGGGCTAATGGAAGTCATCCCGGCGTGCTGCGGGACTCCCCTGGGGACCTGCGGCACTGACAGCCTGCAGCCGGGCTCGGTGATGAGGAGCCCCCCAAGCTGGGGACGCGCCACCCCGCGAGGGACTTTCCGCAGCGTCCCATGGTGTCACGCAGGAGGGACGAGCCAGCTCTCTGCCTGCCGTCCCGAGCCCGGGTTTCCCTTGCAGGAGGATGAACGGCGTGACGGATGACAAACCCCTCTCCGTGCCCCGCGACATCGACCTCCGCCTGGACACCAGCCCCATCACCGCCGTGGATGCTCTCGGTAACCCCCCCGGCGTCAGCCCCAGCGCCCTTCCCGTGCACCCACCGCTCCCTCTGCCCGCAGGACCCGGGTGTCCCGGCACCCAGCATCGCCCAGGACCCTCGGCCATGCCCAGGACCCCCTTGCGGCTCCCCGCAACACGCTGACGTGTCCCTCTGTCCCACCAGTGCTGCGTTATTTCCTGGACTACCAGTGGTTCGTGGATTTTGCCGTCTACTCCACCGCCGTGTATGTCTTCACCGAGGGCTACTACTGCCTGGCGGACCCCCAGAAGGAGACGAACATCGGGGTGCTCTGGTGCCTGCTGACAGTCGTCTTCTCCGTGTATCCTTCTGCCGGCTTTCGGGGTGCGATTTCCAGGCTGCCGAGGGGCGGGAGGAGGAACCCCCCATCTTTGGGTTTTTTTCCCCATTAAAAGCCTGTTGAGGTGGAAAATTTAAATTTATGGATTTATAAACCGCTCGCTGATGAGCTGTAAAGGTGCCTAACGAGAGCCTTCCCCGCGCAGAAGGTGGTGGCGGCCTAACGACGCAGATGCTTTACGATGTGCTAATGAGCAGGGGGTCTTGTTGGTGTTGGGAGGGGGGGGGGGGGGGGCGCGCACA